CCCCCAAAACCCCAAAACCCCAAGATGATAAATAACCTCTTATAAAGTAAAAGCATAATATAATAGGTCTATAATAATATGAAAGAAATAAACAGAACAACTGATTAAGATCTTAATCAGCATGAAAAGACTAATTTACTAGAGTACACCGGGGATAACCAAAACTCTATATTAGGTAAGGACAATATAAATTATTCGGTAGTATCCCCGAGCAGTCAATAGCATAAAACCACTGAAATACCCTAATCTCCTCCCTAATCACCAGGCTAAAGACTACTTTATGTTGCTGCAAGTCCAGCTCGGTATATTAAAAAGCAGATTAGACCAGGGGGTATTAAATCTTCAATCTTCTCGCTGATCATTTTATGCTTGGGTGCTGGTACTCTCGGAATGCCTTATGTTTTCTACAAAAATGGAATCGTCTTCGGAATAGTTATGCTCTTGGTTGGTACATGCCTCTCAATGTACACAGGATGGCTCGTTGTCATATGCTGCCATAGATTGAATGCTTCTCGTTACGAGGATATCGCCTTAGCTACTTATGGAAAGAAAGCATCAATTTTGACATCAATTTGCATGCTGGCGTGCCTGATCGGTTTCATAGTTTCGTATATAGTCTTGGTAAAATCATTTTATATTAAAGAGCTTATCAATAGTTTAAAGAGTTATTGCCATATACACTAACAAAGCTAGTTGGGCCTGATCATACATTACCTGATATTATATCCAACACATTCTTGGGTGAGACATTCTGGGCTATATTGTTTAGTGTAATTCTAACTTATTAATGATACACTTATAGTTTGGATTAGTATTCCCTGTTTCCTTAGCCAGAACCTTGAGTGCTTTGAGATTTTCATCATTCTTTGGCTTTATGATCAGTATTTACATTGTTGTTGCAATAGTATTCTTATGTCTCTTTAGTAGAGAGATCACACCAGACTTAGGCCATAGTTTCAAGACTTCTATTTCTAACTTTGACATCAATGGTTTCGGCATTTTCAATTCTTTACCTATTGTAATCTTTGCTTATATGTATCAAACAAATATTCCAATGATCTATGTTGAGCTGGAAAAGAAAGATCTTAAGCACATGTGGAAAGTAATGAAAATTGGTACTGCTGGAGCCACAACTGCATACCTTTTTGCTGGTGTTTTTGGTTATACCGCATTCGCTGATTATCCTGACGTCAAAGATAAGATGGAACTTCAAAATGTGCTCAAGAATTATCCAAACAACCCAGCTAATTTCATTTCCCTCTTTGGAATACTGATCGTGGTTTTATTTGCTACACCTTTAACTATCCTCCCATGCAAAGACACAATTGAAGAGTTATTTTTGAAGCCAGGATAAAAGCTCAATAATAAGCAAAACATTATTTGGACTTTCATTCTAGTGACTGTGAGCTTTTTCATCTCTCTCGCTATTCCAAATATTGGCGATGCCATGACAATTCTTGGAGCAACAACTAACTCTGGAATTGGCTTCTTGCTGCCTATTATTTACTACTTAAAACTAGAAAAAAAAGCACCCAGATGGGCTTCTCACAAAATAGTGGCATATTTTGTGTTCGTATTTATCTGCTGTTCATCAGTGATAGAGTTGAGCATGTTTGCTTACAAAAAAGCAACTGGAAATAGTTGAATTATCTAGATATCATTCAATAAGTTATTAAATATCATATCTATCAATTCAAGTTTTACTAAAAAGTCGTTCGTAACTTATCTTAACTATCTTCAGGGGTTTTGGGGTTTTGGGGGAGAT